TGTACATTTTTCTGTAAATATTATGATAAACATTATGTAAAAACTGGTTCAAATGCATAATATTCTGATGCTGAAAGTTCCGATATACTTGCTACTTTTAAGATAGTTTTGAATTGTGAATACCAGGAAAACTATTTTACATAAGAAGTACGATAAAGAAAATGTCTCAATGAAGATACCTGAGAAGGAGCTATTGACCTTGTCAGCATTTTTTAAAGATTGAATAATTGATTTAAAAAGTAAATAACCGTTTTTAAATTCTTTTATTAACAATATTTATTATTGTACCTCTTGAACAGCATTCTTATAAAAAATAATTGTTCTACTTGCCGTGAATTTAAATTAATAACAGTTTATGTAAAAACCTATGACATCATAGGAGGATGAAATACCTTAAGGAAGACGCAAAAAGACCATTGAATAAACGAATCATCTTTTAACCTTTCTATACTTTCAGACCCATATCTTATTCAACAAATATATACAACTGTATGAGAAAGAAGTTGATATCACCAATTGAAAACGTTCAAGAGACAAGAAAGGGCTACCTTCGAGAGAGAATATGTTTTGTGTATGCTTATTGACTTTATTAAATACCGTTCAAAATATCAATGTAAAATAAATTACTTTTTTATCGTTAGCCATCTAATGTTAATTAAATACAACGTGACTTCCTCTTTTAGAAACAAGTTTCTATGTATTCAAAAACCTTCAAAATTTTGCAGCTTTGGTTTCACACTGACATCGTGGTCCAATTTCATATTGTAATGTGTATAACGAAAAAAAAATCTTTAAAAACGGACCAAAGTACACTTGTTTAATGTTCATTCTTATTTCTAGAGGATAAGTAATTCATATCAGTAGAGGATTTATATCCTTATTCTATCAAATAACACGCCGGTAATTCAAAAAATGTTTTAGACAAGAGATACAAAGAAAAAAAAGTGTTATAATTACATGTTTTACTTTTTTAACTTTGTTCATACTAGTTCAAAGGGTACCAGCTTGTCCCCAACCAAACTGTATTTTACACAACTTCAATTTTGGTTAAATATGGTTTAAATGTGGTTGAGGGTTGGTGATGAATAAAAAGTTTTCATATAAATTTTAAAAACTTACTGTTATTATTTGTAGGATTTTCCAACGGAGATGGCTATAGATTTTATTAAAAAATCTCCAGTTGTTTTATTGTTTATAAGTAAGGATTTCTTTTCACAGATCACTTGGTATATCATGAGTGTGGAAACCATGATCAGCTTCTGAAGATGATCTATAGATTTTTAAGTCTTTTATTTTCATGTATATATGTTTGCATGGATTCCCTTGTTTTACTCATCTGTTAGAGAAAGACAAATGTGATATGTTTTGAATCAAATAAACATGTACATAGTACTACATACGTGTATCTTGTCCTTTGTTCTTAATCGTGCATTTGAAAGAACGGTATTCCTATATTTTGCTTGAATGCTCATCTCTAAGAAAAAGTACAGAAACTGAATCAGTGATTATTCGAATAGTGTTTGATAAACCAACAAATAAGCAAATATAGGGATATATGAACAAATCAAATGAATTCCATTGCATTATTCTGATTGAAGAACTGCTGCATCAATACTATCATCGATTAGCGTTGCGCATCACCTTGTAAAAGAGGGACACACCAAATCAATGGCCGCGTACAAAACGCAACACGTGTTGTCCTCGTCATCTTCAGAAAACTCAGAGTCAACAGATGTTCACGTGGCAGCTCCTTATAGACCTAAAGGATAAAGATGGCCCGTGTTTTTATTTTCCTCGTTGTGTCTCTCTCGTTTGGGGCTTCTCAGGATCTTACAACGGTTATGAATTTTGAGAAGTTTTTCCGGATGGAAGAGGAACTTCTGACTCTGTCAGATCTGATTGTGAAGCAGGAGTTACGAAGTCACGAGGAAGATGTTCACCAGTTAGCCAACATAACCGGGTCAGTATCGATCAGAGGTTTGTTAAGTTGTGTGATTTCAGCTGGAGAACTTCTAATGCACAAAGAAGTCCGTGCAACATTTTTATGAAAACAATTTTCAATTTTGATTAACATATATTGAAATTTAATATATTATTTGTAGGGTGCTTGAAAACGTTAAAGCCATTCATAAAGACGTGGGGAGGAATGTAGTAGGGTATATCAGTCATCCCATCAACCAGTTTCATTTAACCAGACGGCTTTACCATAACTGGCGGGAAATTCTACAACATATATTACATAGTGATACATGTGTGAAAGGTAAAGTTAGAATACTTATAAAAATATAAACAATAGTAACGAAAGAATCCAGATATTCATATATCAATGGAGCTCGACCACGTTTGCATGCTGTCAAATAAAAATATTTTGCTCACTAGAAGTTGGATTTTTAAGCACAATTCCTAAAATTCTGATACTATTTATAGTACTCAATATGTCATTATAATACTTTCAAGTTCTCAATATTTGCATAGTATCCAGTGTATCTAATACCATCTATATACTTCGAGATTTTTTTTCGATTTGAATGGAAGATTCCTTAGAAAAATGACTTAAGTTTTCATTGCCTTTCAGCATTAAAAGTAAAATTACAAAATATAGAGGACAATGTCCCTAGTAAAGACGTGTTCGATACCATTGCCAGTACTATTTCTGCTCTGCAGCGGTATAAAAGCTTCACAATAGATCAGATTATGAATGGAAATATAGCAGAAGCGAAGCCGCTACAGAAACTCACCTTGGCTGACGCCTTCGACATTGCACAAGCAGCTTATGAGAAGGAGGAAATGTATTATGCCATTGAGTGGTTAAAATATATTGTTGATGAAGTAAAAGCAAATCGCATCTCTGATATTGACGACCAAATATCAGCAGCTGCCGTATTTCACTTGCTATCCAATGCTTATTTTAAGGTATATGAAGGTTATAGAATTTTGAAAATTCCAAATATCTTTAAGGTTTCTTTATAAAATATTTCAATAGCATTTTTATATTGTTTTTAAGGCTGGTTTCATCAAAGAAGCACAAACGACATTAGCAGACTTGCTTCGTTTTGGTATGATCTTGTAAAGATTTTTTTAGTGATATTTATTACATGTACAAAAAAATTCTCCGATTTGAATACTGTTAATCGTACAATGTAGATCCAAGCAATGCTGCTGCCAAAAGAAACCTGGAATACTTACAGATCAGCAAAGTCTTGGCCAATCCCGCTCAGTTAAAACCAAAAACACCTTCAAAGAAGAGCAGGAGACTGTACGAGGAACTTTGCAGATCAGAAGAGAAAACGGTATATTTTTGTATGAATTATTATTTCATAAAATTTTATGACCAATGCATTTGATTAACAAATAACTATAAGTTTACACGAGTTCATGAGTTAGGTTCATTTCTCGGCTTTACTAGCCTTTATCATTTTGTTGAATTAAAACGTTCATCGTATGAATTGTATTCTTTTAGATAATTTCAAAATCATCGAGATTAAAGTGCGTGTACTTTCCTTTGAGAAGTCCAGTTCCATATATGAAATCTGATGTCAGAGCGGAAGTATTGAACCGATCTCCCCTGATTGTCGTGTTTTATGATATGATAGATAATGGAACAGCCATGGCAATCTCTTACATGGGACACAAAAAGGTGCGAGGGGAGGGCCATTTTACCAGTACAAAACAACTGTTTCTATCTTAATGAAATATATTACTTTAAAATAAAGTACTTCATTTAAATCGATACAACGAACTTTTTCAATGTTTTTTCCTAGCTGATGGATGCCTCAACAGTGAGAAGATACTCAGACGTGAGACACAAGTATGTACTTAAACCACGAAACATTGCAGAAAGAACGCTAAAAATGATTTCTGTATACATGTAAATACTCATCTTTTATATTTGTTTTAAATTTAAAGTTTTCCATGTGTTTTGACTTTAAAAATGCCTATCTTGTTTTTTTCTAGTGCAGCAGTTTATGACACAACTTACTGGAAATGGATTCCAAATTTACAAACCAAATTCTCCAAATTGAAATTAAGTCACTTCCCCCCAGTTTTATTTTCATACAGGGTAAGAGGACTTGTTTTAATTCCAATAATCTTATATCTTCTTAGTTATTGGGCTTTTTCTCTTTAAACTCAAAGCAATTTACATGTTTAAAGAAATGTTCATTTCTTCTTGCATCTAGACGTTTAATATTGGAACGGAAGGCGAATTGATGAACAACGAACTAGCGGTAAAATTTTTCTTAATGCATGTAAATTTACAACTGTTTTGCTGATATCCATGCAATGAATGAATAAAGAAAATATTTATCAGATTGTTTTCTTTTTTGTAGCAAAAAGACCAGGTCATGGGAGTTTTCATTTCATTTGTAAGCCTCTATTTCATATTTTTGTAATAAATTGTAAATTAAAATAATTTAATCAAGTTAGTACGGCAAATAACCATCAGTCTTCAAGTTTTAAAACTTTCGTGTTGTTTTGTAGCTTACGGATTCTACAGTAGGTGGAGAGCTCGTATTTCCCTTGTCTAAGATTAAGATTCCGGTTACAAAGGTAGGTTGAAATCTTTTACCAAGAGCTGTATATTCAATCACCTAAATCTGCAATAAATTTCAATGATTCTGGCAAAGAATGGGGCAAAGGTACTCCAAAAATATATAGCAGATTTTAACCTATCACTTTCAGGGCAATGTTGTATTTGCGGAGTACAGAGCACGAATGGGGATATGTCCTGTTTACTTTGGATCTCAGTGGTGTAAGATACATGTATTATGTCTATATGTCAAGTTAATTATAAAACAAAACAAAATATATATCTTCACAAGCTTTTTAACCATAGACAGCTGAAACAATTCTTCTCTCGACTTCATCTTGAGCATTATGGTTGACCTTTCGTCTATTCTATGCCTTTTCTTGTATATTACAGATGGTAGTCAAACTCTGTATGAGAAGATTCAACCAGAAATATGTCCTTTGAAGCAAAGAATCCCCAGATTTTATTGAAAGAATTAATTAACTGTGCCAAAGAGTAAATCAGAACAAGAGTAAAATCTTATAAATTTATTAACAAATTGCGTAGACTGTGCACATGCAATATTTTGAATACATGTACATGTTAATAAACAAGTTTTAAAACATATATCAAATATATATACTATAAAGTATAAAGAAAAAAATTAACAAAATAGCTGGCATACAGAAAATGCACCTTCAAAATGCGTCCAATAAATAGCATGAATTTATAACTACTTAATAAAGCAATACAAATTATATTCATTATGTTTTAGTTGGAAAATTGTATATCATAATTTTTTGACAAATGGCCAGAATTGCGTAAACTTTGTAACCATGTATTTAATACATTTGTAATAAAGGTCCGATATTTTAGATAGTTTGTTCCTTGTTTTATTCTCACTAAGTCTGTCTTCTCTTGTCTCATGATTTCTGTGCCTCCTCTTCTTTGCCTTTATCTGGAATAACAAACACATCTGTTATATACATATAATAGTATCAATATAACATTCAAATATTAGCTAAAAACGATGCAATTCGGTAAAAATAAAATTTGAAGTCAACTGCATATAAAATAAAATCATATTGAATACTTTAAAATATATTTTTTCAATTAGATCATTGTACATTATTAATTTAAGTTAAATTTTGTTAAGAATTATTGCTGAAAAAGAAGTTGAATCATGTTTATAAAGCAGTAAATAAGCATAGAATAAATAAACCTGTAAACAATAAGCACAATCTGTATACAGTTCAGGGTTATGAGTTATATACATTGTAATTGTAATATTGGTTTATCGAAGCAGTTATTGCTTATTTTTGCCAGACTTTGACAATTTAACTTTTTTATAAGGCGTAGTATGATATATGTGTAATAAAGTCGTTTCAGTAAAATTCATTATAAAAAATGAATTTTGGGACAATAAAGTGGTTATGTTCAATTTCCGACATGCAGTTATGTACATGCATATACATGTATGTAAATATGATTTATGAATAAAGCTAACTCTTGATTTCAAATGGGTGGGAATATCCTAATCCTGAAAAAGAAAATTACAACAATCACATGCTAAAAATGTGGGAAAAAAAGTAAAAAAGAAAAAAATAATACTGAAACCATTAATAAAAATGAGCTTATTAAATCAACTTCAGTATTTTTTTTCATAAATATAACTGATAGAACCTCTTTGAACATTGTGTTATATACTTAATAAAATAAAGGAAAAGAAAAATCATGCAAGTTTTGTATGGGTTACTATATTATAAAGTAAGTGACATGCTTTGGTTTACAATATACATTTCCATGCTTCATATGTTTAATATTCTGAAAGTGTGGAAACTTGAAGGTTTTGAAAATCCAAGAATACATGTTTCATAGAGAGTGTGGAACAAAAGGAAACTCCGATACATACAGGTATCTTCTATTTATACCATTTTTATACCCCCCGCTTGAAAAGCGGGAGGGTATATAGTAATCGTTAATTCCGTCCGTCCGTCCGTCCGTCTGTACGTCCGTCCGTGTTTACGAGAGTGCATTTATTGGGTATTTTTCATGCCAAGATTGTACTTATTGGGTACTTTTTGCTTATTGGGTATACCCAATAAGAAGTGTCGCTGAATATGCTTAAAACACCCTAATTGGGTATTTGAAAGTTAGTACCCAACAAAACTTGGACACGACGATTTGTCCAAAAAAGTGTCCAAAAAAGTTGCTTTCACGGACGCACCGTGTTTTATTGTTTCAGTTTTACATTCGGAACTCTAAATTCTCACTCGGAGTTCCTCGGATGACTCGTACCTCGCACATTGAATGGAGCGGAGCGGAGTCAGCCGAGGATTGCCGATTGCTAAATTCTCGAGAGTTCCGAATATCAACTTCCGTTGATCCTGATCATAACAACGTTTGTTTTCATGGAAAAAAAATATGGCGACTAAGAAACACTGAATGTCAACAAGATTTTCTGAATGACAAGAGAAAAGGTAAGTTTATTCGATTAATATTTATCCATTGCTGGGTTCTTGTTTAAGGAAAATAGATTTTAATGTAAATTTCAAAACAATTGTGCACAAAATTAAAATAGATTTATCGGAACAATTAATCCTAAGTTGCACTTGTTTGTATTTTGAATTTTCTCTGTCTTTTTAACTCTCTTGAGGGCGAGAAGTATTTAGTAAATGATCGTATATTGTTAGATAATCTTTAATAAATCGAAAGTGTTTATTATTTAATTTTATATCATAACCAACTATATTATTTAATTTTATATCATAACCAACTAAGTATGTTATGACAATGTGATTGGAAAGGGAAATGAAAATTTTAACAATCGTGTGTTCATAAATCAGCTGTAAATTATCGGTTCATGTAGACAGTATTACAATCGCAAAGTGAGCTGAGATGATGATAAATGGGATAATTGACAACAACTAAATAATTGTATGTAAGTTTATCTCATCTGATATGTAACTTAAGAGATTCATTGTATTACTGAAAAACTTTCAGTCAAAACAGTGCTTCTTTCTGTCTTTGATTTTGACCGAGTGTCTGCTTTATTTTGATTTTTTTTTTAAATTATTGTTTTTGTCATTTGTTTTAATTAATTTAAAACAATACTGAAATTGATATAGGGCTACTATAACTATTTCACATGATGGGTGTGTAATTAGCATCGCACTACACCCGGGGCTTCCATTTTTGAGAATGGGGCTAGTGGTTTTCTGCACTGAGGAATCCCCTTGGGCTATTAGGAATTTTAAAATACACATGTAATACATGAAAAGCACCACCGGTATTTTCACTCTTTTTTGCTATTAAATTCCCTAATATGAAAATATTCCAGACAGCATGCTCATATTATCCATAAATCTCCACAACTGCATCCATTTTGAAGTACTACCAGACTGATTTACTTAAATATGATCGTTTATTTCCTAATTTGAATTCCCCCCGTTCCTTTGTTTAATATATTTAAATTAAAGCTTTTCATACAATTCGGAGCACGGAGAACACCTCGTTTTATCTAATAATACGATTTTATCTTCTCTGTAATGTGTTATTCAAATCTTTTGTATTTTCTTCCAAGTCAGAGAAAATTCCAAGAATCCAAATTAAATTTTGATATCTTTATAACGCAATTGACTTAGATCTTTATCATGTTTATAAATATAAAGTAATGATACAAATAATAAGTTCTTATAATTTTAGTCTAATAATTTTCATTGTACATACGCCATATATGGCGTTAAATGATTCAAGATGAAAACAAAATGATTTTTGCTTCGTTTTAATTAGACGAACTAGTGAATGACCAGAAAAGGAATATTTAAAATCATTTTTTTAAATCATTAATTTATATATGATTAAATTTTACCAGCGAAAATTAAATTAAACTTTAATTTTAAAAAAATTCATCTGTAGTTAATACCCTGGGGCCCGTTCCAAGGTCGTACGCCCAGTCGTAGCGCTACGTCGGCGTAAAGTCGGAACAAGAACGAATATTTGCAATTCATTAAAGAGCGTATCGTTACGCCTGACTAAATTTAGGCCAAAATTTTACGTCACTCATGGGTAGGCGTAAGTTATGGCGTAAAGTTAAAATAAGGCCTTTTTATTAATTTTAGCGAGTTCTAAAGAAAAAGTAAGTTTCTAAGAAGAATTTAAAATACAAACAATGCATTATTTAATTATACATATTATGAAGAGGGGGAGGGGGGGGGGGGGTGTTGTTACAACTACTTGGGGACGTAGTTGATTTGAGTAATAACGTACTCAAATAATATTTTGACAAATTTCTGCTGAGAAGAAAAGATTGTCTTATTAGAGACTTCTTACGTTTTTACAATGCATTCATACACATTTGATTGTAGTATTGTATGTCTAAGGTATTGTAAATCAATTTACATATATAACTGTATTTCTACACCCCGCTTGAAAAGCGGGACGGTACATGTATATATACATATATATACTATTTAGTAATCGGGATGTCCATCTGTTACGCTTTGGGGGTACCCATCTCTGTCCGCAACTCCTTTCATATTACTGATTGAAATTTGGTAAAATTTTCACAGAATCTTCATTATATATTGCCATTGTGCCTTATTGTACTTTTTGATCCGACACATATTTTGGGTTTCCCACAGCAAAACATGGACACTGCCATTATATTTATATGGATGGCGGGGGGATATCTTTTATTGAACTCATTGCTTATGGTACCTCTAGTTTCCTTTTCATTTACTAAAAAGAGACCCATTAAAATTGTCTATTTTGAAAAATAATTTCCAACAGCATATTTTCTGAAAAACAAAAATTACAAAAAAAAAACAAAACAAAACCAAAAAAAATCCGTTTCAAAAGCAGAGTTATCATCTTTCATGTAATTTTCTACATTTAAGAAAAAAATTCAAAAAAATAACCCATCTTAAAACCAAATAGTTTTTGTCATGTTTGAAGAGTCCATTTCTTATTTACTTCTCGTCCACATGCGTGGATCCAGAGGGGGTCGGAGAGAGGGTTCAGAATCTCCCGAATTTGCAGATTAATTAACATTGAATGTACAGATTACTTAGTTAAGGTCGAAAGTAATTATTTTCCTAGGTATATCTTGGACAAGTGATGTTCCCGGCGAATCATAGACCCCAACCCAGGGAGGGGGTTGGGGTCTCATAGACAATAAGAGATTTTTGAAAGTGGTAATAAATTATTGCTTTTATAATATCGATGTAAGACGGTGATAATTACACAGTTAAGTTCAAGAATGAATTACATGTATTCCTATTTTTTTTCTCAGACAAACATTGATGCAGAAGACATCTTTAATTTTCTTGTTTTTGTTTAAAAGAGCAAATCTTACATAGTACAGTATAAGATAATCTGAGCGCATATAAAGCACATATAATATGAAAATATACATGTTTTTGATTTCCTGCATTACTTACATTTTAATGAAAACAAAGTAAAGAGTAGCTGTACCTAAATTTTAAAGACAGAGACCACACAAGCAGAGAATTTTTGTAAGAATATATTTGTAGTCATTTCTCTCTCTCTCTCTCTCTCTCTCTGCGTACTTTTAAAACGGTACATCACATTTAATCTGCAGATAGTAAAGAATTTTTTTCTATAACTGAACAATTATGAATCAATTGAATTGACAAAAAATTAATAAATACAGAGAGGATTATCTTACAAGTACCATCGTAGTAAACGTGTAAAATTTATTTCTTGACTCAAATGTGTTCATATGTAAACCGTTTGCATTTTGTTTTCATTATTTTTGCTTGCATATACATTTTTTATTAACATTTTTAAATCTTATTCTGTCTTAAACTTCATTATTAGTATTTGTCAGTAGAATCAGTATTTATCGAATCATGAAATGTATTATCAAAGGCGAAGTTATTAACCTGTATCAATTTCGGGAAGAGGGGGTATGGCTGTAATTTAATTTCCAAAATG